TTTTTTTTTGTAGAAATGTGCCATGCATTCAAAAACACCAAAAGAAAACTGCAGTCTGCATGACAAAACGGATGCAGAGCAGAGCGGATTAAGGGCAGTGCAATGTCAAATCGGAGCAGAGGGATGGTTCAGCCTTCAGCTAGGAAAAAAAATAACAAGAGAAATGATCTCTCTGTGCTTATGAGAGACACATGCAACTTCCATCTATCGAAGAAAACAGAAGCTGCTTGAGAAGTTTGACAAATCCTTTCTCACCAGTCCAACCTGTACATGAAAAAGGTGGTCTGAATTCTGCTTTGCTACAATCATGTACACCTACTGTGATTTTACTGACTCCAGGGTGCATAGTGGTAAACACTCCTTCTATTTGTGATAATTGCACTTCTAATTAAAAGAGTACAAAGGTGGGCATGGAGGAACATTAGACTGCTAACAGGGGACTAATGGCACGAGTGTATGTTGCTCTCTGTCCAGTACTGAGGGATCACAAACAGTTCAGGAAGAAAAAACACCGTAGCAGATGTCTGCTCAAGGCACATAACCCCTTCTGCTCTAAGTTAAGTTTTTGGGTAATAGAACCACTTAGTCCCAGAAGCTAATGAACGGCCACTTTGTACATCTTATGCTTCACTCCATTAAGAGGATGCAACACAAATCATCTTCTGTGTAATGTGATTTATCTCTTTTTGCTAGCACCTAGCAGTGCTACAGGGTGCTAAATCTCCTCATCTAGCTTATGGTCTCTCCTCCCATCTGCCACTTTATTTCTTCTTTTTCCTCCTCTTGTTTCCCTCCACACATTTGATTTACTCATGTTGTTTAGTTTTTATTCGGCTCGTCTCTGCATTAGCCTCAGCATTAGGCAGCCTGGAAATCATTCTGCTTGAGAAGCACGCTATGAACCGCAGGCAGCGCAGCTACAACACTGCTACAGAAGAGAACAAGCAGCAGAGAGCTTCAAGCAGCAGCCCCTGGTACCCATCCTAAATTAACGATGGCTCCAAGAAAATTATCATTCTCCTGCCAGTGCAGAGAAGCCACTCGTCAATGAGGGAAAAGCAGGGCAGAACAAGCCTGGGTGCAGAAAGCAACTAGGGGAACAGCTATCTGACATTGCTGGGCTTAATGCATGCCAGTGACAATGGAAAAGGTATTTGGTCTTCTCAGCAGGTCCACGTGGCATGTTCTGACCGGGCTGAAACAGAGATGCTGAGCACTGATAAACTCAGCTGGCAGTGGTGTTGGGGCATCCCCTCTCTGCCCATGCACTGTGGGGAGATCGTGCTCTTCTGCCTAATCCAGCAGGGGCTCAGGGTGGGTTTTGTCAGCCTTGAAGCTTCAACAGCTGAAAGAAAAGCCAAATTTAGTAAGAGACTTCCATGTTCAGGATGGCTAAGGAGAAGCTAGCTGACAAGAAGGTTTCTTTGCAACACCAATGTTTAGTTTCACGCCTATGTGCTTATCCTTCCTGCTATTATAAAATGTTCTTCCGTTATTGGAGCGAGCCACTGTGATACAGCAGTGACTCACGTTTCCCTGCCTTTATCTAGCTGTATTACACTGAAAAGAAAATCCCAGCCCAACCGCTGTGCAACTGCCCAAAATAAATCTCACAGACCCCAACAGCACCAGAACAAAGCCCAGACTGCAACAACACGGTGAAAATTGTAGCAGGGCCTGCGGTCAGCTCTGCAGCTGGCTGTCGGGGAACTGACTGTACAACTCCTGGATTCAAAGCGCATGAGCCTCCGTGCAGGAAAAGCTGCTTAGTCCCAAACATGTTTATGCAGAGCTTCTAGATGCCTGGGCTCAGACAGCCAGAAACGCTGCTGGGAGAAAAAAAAAAAAAAAAGAAACCACCACCAACAGATAAATACATGCACGTATAAGAAAAACCTTGAAACCAGCCTTGCCCAGGCCATGGAGCATCCATTGCACGGCGTTTGTTTCCTCCTAGTGGACCAGTGTGTGATTGCAACACTGGCCTCCACCGTTTGAAATGACCCATTAGATGTACGGTGCTTGGATTAAACATGCAGAAAATACAATAAATAACTCACAGCCGTCTCCTCTTCGAGAATGCTGAATGTCCAAGCACTTGAGTATTTGACATTCAGGCTATTTTGATGAGTCATGCTCGATTACTGCAGAGTCAGTACTTTAATTTGTTCACCTTCCTAATGAACATAATATAAGAAGAGGAATACAGTTTTATTCTGGGACAGGAATCTTCCACTGCTTTGATATGAAAGACTTGCGTACCACATCTTCATGTAAGAGCTTCCATGAGATGTGAAAATTGCACATTTGCAGAAGAATTTCTTTATGGTTAAAAACTTGGCAAAGATCTAACCAATTTGCGTCATATTCTAGAGATTATTTGAAGAAAGCACTAAAGAACAGAGATTTCAGAAAACACTGGAGCAGGCAAGCACTCAGACTCTCAGAACATGGTATCCTATTATTGGCACTAAGGAAAAAAAATATTAAGTGTTCTCTGTGATGCTCAAGACTGCTGGTAAGTTTGTTTACTCAAGTATCTCTTTTCATTATCACGTTCGAACAGCTCACATACATGAGCAACAGAAACTTTTAGGTTCAGTACAGAAAACTGTACATGCATCAAAATACAATTTATCCACTTTGTGTCAGCATTTAAAACATGACACTTCTCCAAAACAAACTCACCAGGTTGTGAATCAGCAAAGACCAAGCTCCTGCATCTTTGCTTCTCAGGAAAAAAAAAAAACTTCTCATGGAGCCCACTTCCCCAACGCCCAAACTCCAGGAAACAGTTTTATGACCTGGGAGACTCATCTGAAACTTCAGGACTTGATCTCTCAGAACATGAACGCAGCTTTCGGTGAACTCCTATTCCTTCAAGAGCAGCCAGGCTTTGCTGCTAACAGGAAAAGAAGTCTCCGAAGGAAAACCCAACCCAGACACAGGTTTAAAATTACAGGAGCACTGGTGTAATGCACAGTGTAACTCTCCCTTGAAAGAAACAGCATACCCATGAAATAACACAGACATTCCAACCTCGAGATTTAAGATGAGCTCAAATGTGTATTTGACAAAAATACAGAAATATCCAGTGTCATATTCTAATAATACAGAAATAACTTTGTTTTGGATAAAAGCAACGTATTTGATAATTTAAGGTTAGAACAACTTTCCGTATACATCAGTACTCGGCCAAGTAAAAAATATCAAGTACCTTTACAGTCAAGACAGGAAGAAAAAATAGAAACTAAACGTATTTGACTGCAACTTCTTACAAGCAGAGGTCTCTCACAGACAGTAGTTGCCCCTGCTATAGCACTCCACCTGCAAACCTCCTTTCTCTACCTCTGTGCCACCTTCTCTACTTCTTGTGCCTTCTGCCAAAGTTCAGACCAGTCAGGTAAGACCTGAGCCTCCGAAAGTCTCCTATTGGGAATATGCAAAACATTCTCTTTGATCCTAACCAGCTGTACCAAACACATCCCTAAAAAAAAATAAAAATTAAATAAACCCTCTACTGCCCTGATCATCTGGAAGAATCCTTAGGGGTCTTAGGTTAAAATGTCAGCTTCTTGAAAAGGCCTTTCCTCTGGCTCTGAGGTAGTCTCTCTGTCCCAGGACATCGAGAGCTCCATCTCACACAGGCTGCAATCACACTAACGGGCCGGGTTTAATGCCACCTCGTTCTTTGGGTTTTGCTTTGTAGTCATTTGCATGTTAATAAATCAAAGCTATTTAATTTACAGAAACCAACAGGATAGCCATTAATGCAACCATGTCAGACGAGGCGGACAAGCGCCGTACAAAAGGAAGGTAAGAGCTCTCCTGTCTCATCCTTCCTTTCGCCCTTGTTTCTAGCTGTTGCCAAAGCCCTTCCGTGTCCATGTCAGTTCTTTTGGTAAAATTAGCTGAACCACTTTACCAGTTAGCCTAGGGAGGCAGGAGTTATTTAAGACACATAGAGCCTAAGGCCACTTAGTAAGAAAGGTGTGCCTCCTCCCTCCACAGCGGGAAGAGTCCTCCGGAACCAGCCAGAGCAACGATGAAGCAGACAGTAATGATGGGTGGGGTTTTAGTTTTCATTTTAGCTTCTGGAATAAATCAGCAGAGCTTCCCCCACAGAAGCGTCCTGTGGTCTAGGGAAGTTAGCTTCACTGCTAGAGACTGCAAGTGAAACTAAGGCTTTCTAGCAGCAAAGACAACCCTGCCACCCCCTGCCCATCACTCTGAGCACTTCGTATCATTCCGCTTGTCTATTAAGAAAGCTCTCGCAGAGACCATCTTCCTAATCCGACTCTAAATGAAGGTCTGCAGTTCCCGTAGAATGTTCTCGATACCAGATGGCAGTAGGGTCAAGTTTCAACACCGCTGTAAAATCAAATATAAAGTTGCCCTTTAGCCCCATCTCGCTATAAGCCTTTTATGTTATCTGTTCACAGTTGGCTGTTTTGTTTTTTGTTTTTTTTTTTCAGAAGCCACACAGAACAGTAGCATACAGGCCAAATGCGACACCTACAGAAAACACAGCATAATCAGAGGTTAAGCTGCATTTTGGCACCATGACTTCTTTCCTGCCACTGCCTTTTACACAGAAATCTATTCAGACCCGTGACTTTAGAACCTCTTCAGAATTTTAAGATCTACATTTTGAACACACTTTCTACTGAATAGCCTCAGAGTAGTACGCACATATCTGAAAATAATTTAATTCCTATTTTCTCATGAAGTACATTCTGTGCGTCATTTTAGTTTCATAGTCAATAACAGGGTACACACACTTTACAGGACAAGAAACTTAAACCATGACTATTTAGTAAATTACGAATTGTAGTGATTAAAACAAGACAGGCACCAGAGAAAATACACATGCTGAAGCCTGATGTATATACTACACTGGAAGTCTTCAGTGACACGACAAAGAATTTGTGGTTTTTCCCCCAATTACAAGCGAGCAGAGGATTTGTCAGACTTTCACTCTGTAGCTTCTACTGTCCACCCTATGCCTCCTTCTTCTTGATGATCAGTGGCCCAACGTTGTCACCAGTTTCCTCGTTGTGCTTTGTGTGAGCACCATCACACAGCGGGAACTGAAAAGAAAAAGAATAAATACATCTGAAGTACATCTGGAGTCAGAAGTAAGACCCTAGGTTGAAAGGTAATTAGAACGTCTTCTCATTAAATCCACCGTAACTTTTCTGCTGGCGTCTTGGGTCTCCCTGAATTTTAGCCAAACACTAGTTTTGTCCATGCAAGTACTGAGTGGGTGAGAGGTTTGTTAAGAAAAAGCAGCAAGTTGGCTCCACTCTCTTTGGTGTTCCTGCCTCAGGCCAGCACGAGGAAAACACAGCCCGTGCTGACCTTCGGCTGTAACCTACCTGGAGTATCTTGCTCTCAACCTTGCCTCACGCTCCCTTTTCCTGGGCAACAGCCAGGATTGAGTGCAGTTCCAGAAGATAAGCGGGGTGAGGAAGAGAAACAGGAGGAGGTCCTTTCCTGGTTTTCCACAGCACATGATGACAAAAAGGACAGTTTCACTAGCTCACCTCTTATTTAAGAGAGACACCTACGTATTAGTCCCGCCTCCAGACAGCTAGAGTGGGAAGCTGCCTCTGCTTCATCCTGACATAGCTAGCTTATCTCATCGACACAAAGGTCCCTCTGCACCAGCTGGCCTCAACATTAGGATTTTGACGTGCTAATGGAAATAAAGCGCACTTCCAACTGACACGGCTATTCATCAGCGGGGTTTTAAGGGTAGCACTGAGGAAGTACTTTGAAGAAATGTTTGTTCCATAAAAAAACACTCCTGGGACAGCCTGGTCAGAGCAAGATCCATGGGGACTGCTTTAGCCAGCTGCAACTGCCCAGGTCCCGGACCAGTCATGACCACGCTGCTCCTCAGCAGCTCTTTTCACGCGCAGGAGCCAAAGGACATTCTGTGAAGCAACAAGAGTGAGGTTAGATCCCACCACTTCTCAAGGATGTGTTTTCAGGGCTATGCCTCCTCTGCAGAAGAAACTCTGGAAATGATCACAGAAGCACACACCAGTATTTTGCCTTCAGTTACTGTTTTGTTTGCTTAGAAGTAATGGGAATCAAAGTTGGGCATTACTCGGCTGTTGCCTTTGCAACAGCAATATTCCCTTGCAGTACAGTCATAAATGTTTTCAACGCTCCACTGATCCCTATGTTCGTGCCTTAGTTACAGCCCTTGAAAAAAATTAACGCCCTATCACCCATGCTTAGTGAAAATACAAGTACTGCACGATACTTATAATGAAAACAATACAATGAAGGCCAAACACTTGCAAAAAAAAAAAATCCCAGAGCTCTAAAAATAAAGCCACATTCCCTGTAGGGAATCTTGGGGGAGTGGAGAGAAGCGAGGTAGGGATTTTTTGGTTTTCAGTTACAGAATGTCAAAAGCCATGCTACAAATGGCAAGTGACATTTCAAATAAAGAAGCCATGAATTCAGAGAATACTCATGTAAGCTGATTCACGCAGGAACTTTACTATCGTATCAGTCATCTGTGACTCAATGAGTAGGTACTGGCAGATATTTGAGGAAAATCTGAGCAAACAAGAACATATGTTCACGAGACACCGACCAGCTTCCAACCCAGATGTTTATGAGCCAATTGTTTTTCCATGCAACACCACAGTCCACTGGTCTTCGCAGAAGCATCGATCCAGCTTCCATCAGACGACAACATCTCACATGCTCACAAGCCCAAAGTCCAGCTACAGCAACATCATTGCTTCGAGTTTGCAAGTGACAAAAATAGTGGGATTCCTACGCTTCAGATAGCATCAAGATATCTCTAACAGCTACCAACTCTGACTGCTCTGAATTCATCCTCTGGGTCAGCTGGTCTCAGAACCACTGGGCTGGGACACTAGACTTGAGCTGCTCAGGAAAAAAATAAAACACCACCAGCACTTTTCCAGAGCACTCACTTGGTCACCTTGAAGACCAGATACTGAATAGATGGATCCTGGGCCTGACACAACACGTTCCTCCTTGATTAAGATACAGCAGGCTAGCAATAGCAGCCAAAGCTCAAACCCTGAGGGGATCGTGCGGTGATCTGGACAGCTCAGCTTATTTCCCTCGACAATGAACAGGTTTAAAGTCTCTCCCATTATTTCTTCTGATGTTCTGCAGCAGTATTCCTGGACCTGCACCCTGGGGACTAAAATTCCTCTGGAAGACACAGAGGTTGCAGGTCATCACAAAAGAAAGCAAATTAAATTTGCTCCCCTTCCTCGCCCTCAAGCTCACACAGTTAACACAGAATGGTAAGAAAACAAATATTCTAACTTTAGACTAATTACAATTTGATTTTAAGACACAACTCTTGCCTCTACACGGGCAAATTTGAACACGGGGTTTTTCCACAAACCTTGACAAGCAGTGCTACAGATTGCCTGCAGAGCACAACACTGAATAGGAGGGCCATTCACCGAACCACTTACCCCCTACTTTAACAGATAACTACATCCCAAGACAGACTTATTTCAAGACACCACGTGTGGTTTTTTAAAACACATGCACTCCAGGAAAACAAAATAAAGCCTTTGCAGTACACTATTTCTGAAAACAAACAAACAACTTTGATGAGAAGTGCTCACACAATCATAGAAGAGGACATTTCTTCTAACTTATATATGAAAAGGAGATCCCATATGCCACTTAACAAAACCACAGCAGACACTTACTGTTTTTGTAATTCCCTGCACTGGCAGCACACACATTCTACCATTCTGCCATCATATGAATGTTATCTTACAAATTTTAACAGGATCTTAGTTGGAGAACTGTAAGGAACGGATAATGCTAGCTAACTACTTCCAAAGATGACAAGCATGTGACAATGATGAAGAACATCTCTGTATTTTATTACTGCTTGGCCATAACTGAACCTAAGAAGAAGAACACGTATCGTCTTAAAGATCATGCTACCCACTATACAAGGTGAACCGATCATGGCAAGAGGAAGGCAGCAAAACTGGAAATTGCAGTCTTTGAAGCACAAAGTTGACTAAAATACTCATTATTAAGCACCAGTAGAAGAAAACAAATACCTTCCAAATTTTCCACTGACCTCCTTAATGCCTTTACGAGACCTTTCAGATCAGAGTTCTAATAATGGACTCGTTATAAGGTAGCCTCATCTACTTCCTTTTACTGTGCCATTACAGAGCCCTCACTCAATAGGACAGTACGTTCCTGAACGGACAACACCCCTTCAATATATGCCAAAACGTACTGCTTAAGACTTTTATTTCACACAAAAAAAGATAGTATCAAACAATAGCTAGAATATTGGCAGGAGCTGCAATGCAACCACTAAAACCAGACACTATCTTCCATTTGTTTAGAAAACAGAGCAGGAAACAGAAAAGTACAAACATCAAGATTCAAGTTAGGATTTTTTT